CTGGGCGACCCTGGCGCCGCCGCAGCCGAGGCGCCGCGGCGGATGGAGGCAGCAACTGGTGGCCGCCGAAGCGGACGCTGCCGCGGCGGACGAGGACCGCGGCATCTCCCGTCTTTTCGGGAACCACCTGCTCTCTTGGTGCGAAGGCGGGATGTCTGCCGCAAGGCTCCAGCACCTCGCGGCGAGCGGCGCCGCCGACGGGTTCGAGCACCCCATGCTTGCCCGCATGGCGCAGCTGCGCGAAGGCCAGAACGCGCAGGTTTCACTGATTGAGCTGCTGGGTACCACTGGCGTGCCGCGGATTATATCCGCGTTTCCTGGGGAGTTCGTCTCCCACGGTGTGCTCCCGAGCTCATGGTTCTCGCTGCTGCACGCCTACCCGCACGAGTTCCGCTTGCGCCTCGGCGCGGAGAAGACCAAGCTGCGCGGCTTCTGGCGGGACTTTTTGAGCAGGCCCGCAAATGCTGACCTCAGGGCCAACCGCCCCATCATTGGTGGCATGGGCATCGACGAGCTCGAGACGGTGATCCCCCTCACGATGCATGCTGACGCGGGGCCCTACTCGAAGACGTCTGCGTGCTATGTCGTCAGCTTCGGGTCCCTCGTCGGCGTCGGGGAGGCCAAGCTGACCAAGTTCATATGCGCCTCCTACGTGCAGCGGTCTGGCCAGATGGATGACTCGCTCTGGTGGCACCGTGTGCTCGAGGACATGGCCGCGCTGGGCTCGGGCCATGTCGGGGGCAGAGCGGTTGCGCGCGACTCCGACGGCACTCTCTGGAGAGGCGCGCTGGTATTCGTCAGGTGCGATGAGGACGTGCGCGCAAATGATTTTGGCCTGACGCACTTCTCAGGGGGCAATGGGGTGTGCCCCGACTGCCTCGCCAACCGCACGACGCGGCCTTTCACTGATATGACGGAGGGGGCCGCCTGGCGGCGAGGCGAGGGGATGAGCTTCGACGTGTGCAAGGCCAGGGCGCGGGAGCCCCACCACCCGCTGGTGGCGAACGCGCATTTCTGCCACCGCTTCTTCTTCCCCATTGACATCATGCACCTCCTCGAGTGCAAGGGCGTGACGCCCCTTGTCTTTGGTTCCGAGATGCTGTTGCTGCTGGCCGACGCCCGAGTCGGGGCGAACAAGGAGGAGCGCCTCGAAGCCATCAACGCCCGACGGGAGCAGTTCTACGACGCCAGGCCAGGGTCCAATCGTCTCCCGAAGATCATGCTCACCAACTGCACCAGGGACGGGTGGGGGAACCTCGCGGGGCCAGCGTATAAGGCGGCGAAGGTCAGGTGCGCGGCTCCGTTCTTCAGGGACGTCGTCTTCCACTACTGCGGGTCCATGCATGATCGCGACCAGCAGCTGCGAAGACTAACCGCCGCGCTGGACGACCTCTACACGCTATTGTACGACGCGCCGATGTTCCCGCCCGATGCGACGGTGGTTCGCGTGCGGCAGCTGTGCCTGGCGTTTGGCAGCGCATACCAGCGCCTGCGCGAGCTGTCGCGCCGCGCTGGGGTCTTCGCCTTCGCGGTCACCCCGAAGGTGCACAAGGTCCAGCACATCCCTCTGCTGACATCGTGCATCAACCCCGTGAGGGTCCAGGTGTACAGCGAGGAGTCCATGATGGGCTCGGTGACTGGCACGTGGAGGGGCTCGAAGAATGGGCGGTACAGGCAGACCGTGCAGAAGGTCGTCCTCATCAAGCAGGTCACGGGCTTGCTGCTGCGCTTCGAACTGGACACTTGAGGTCACGGGCCTTGAAATGAAAAACATGTTTTTTTAATATACAAAACACGAGCGTGGGCTTGCCATCGCTATCCCATGCCATGCCACGCATAGCCTGCGAGGGTAAGAAAAGGAGGAGGAGAAGGAGGAGGAGGAGGAGGAGGAGGGAGGAGGAGGAGGAGGAGGAGGAGAAGGAGGAGGAGGAGGAGGAGGAGGAGGAGGAGAAGGACTCGAGGGCGTTCTGGGGCCGTTGCCCTCCAGGCATCGACGAAGACGTCGCAAGACGTGGCTAGCCGCGCGAGGAGGAGGAGGAAGAGGAGGAGGGGGAGGAGGAGAGGAGGAGGAGGAGGAGGAGGAGGAGGGGGAGAAGGGGGGAGGAAAAGGGGGAGGAGGGGGTGGAGGAGGAGAAGGACGAGGTAGGAGGGAGGAGGAGGAGGAGGAAGAGGGGAGGAGGAGGGGGGGTAGGTGGAGGAGGAGGAGGAGGAGGAGAGGAGAGGAGAGGAGGAGGAGGAGTGGAGGAGGAGGGGAGGAGGAGGAGGGGGGAGGAGGGGAGGAGGAGGAGGGGAGGACGAGGAGGGGGGGAGAGGAGGAGGAGGAGGGGAGGATGAGCAGGATGAGGAGGAGGAGGATGCGAAGAAGGCGGAGAAGGAGGAGAGGAAGGGGAGGTGGAAGGAAGGAGGAGGAGGAGGAGGGGAGGAGGGAGGCGGGGGAGGAGGAGGAGGAGGAGAGGAGGAGGAGGGGGAGGAGGAGGAGGAGGGAGACGAGGAGGAGAGGAGGAGGAGGAGGAGGAGGAGGAGGACGGAGGAGGGAAAAGGGGAGTGGGGTGGAAGAGGGGGGGGAAGGAGGAGGAAGAGGA